CAGTTTGCGGATCCACGTGTTGGGTTTCGTAGTGACCCTCACTACGCGGAAAGAAACCCGCCAAGACCCGCCCCCATAATAAATGCAATTAATCAAGCAAAACATAAGTAAACACAAGAAAGGATAAAAGATTATACCTTTGACGCGTGCTTCGCTCAACAATGAGCTCTTACTTGAACCTCGAAAACACGAGGCCTCCGACGGGATCGTACCCTCGAACCCGACCTGAGCGTCCTAAGTCTCGAAGGTTAGTCGAAACCCGGACAAATAAAACTATGAGTTTTACGAATCAAGGTTTACTTAAATCAAGAGTTGGCTTTCAATTCCACTCAAGGTTGTGTGTTTCCCAATACCCATGCCTTTGGTATTTATAGGGAAATGCACCCTTGAACTTCATTTCCCAACCAATGTGGGAGAATGAATAATTTTGATAATTAATTTATTTCCAAAATAAATTAATAATAAATCAATCACAATGCAACAAGTGTCAAGGGGAGAGAGAGAGTTAAGTGAGGACCAAGAGAGGTGGGGGGGACCATTGCCTTGCTCCCCAAGGCTTTGCCCAAGCCTTGGTCCCCACCCTCACAAAACCGGCATAGAGGGCTGCTGGGCTGGCAGCCAGCTAGCATGCCAGCTAGCCCAGCCAGCCAGCACAAGGCAGCAAGCATCAGCTCAGCCAACCCCATGCGCGCTGCGTGCTGCTGCTGGGTGATGCCTACGCCACTGCTTGCTAGGCGCTGGGCGCTGCTAGCAAGTGTTGCTGGCTGCCTAGCTCTTGCACGCACATGCACACCAGGCCCTCGCACTCCCAGCATGCGTGCTGCTAGCGAGTCGCACATGCTGGGCATCGCCTCGCCAGCCACACGCACAAGCATGCGAAGCTTGGTGCTGTGATGCTGCGATGGCTTGTATGCATACGTACTGAGCGAGGCTCGTGCTGCTGCTGCAATGCCCTCCATGCACACGCACACACGCACTGGCCTAGCCATGCGATGGTGCTGTGCTTGTCCAAGGGGCCTGCGATGGTGCCTAGCACCCAGGCACGCATGCTGCAATGCAGTGCCATGCGAAGGCACGCATATGCGCAGCCATGCTGCTGCGATGGTGCGATAGGCTAAGGTACAAGCACACGCACAGGCCTAGCCATGCGATGGTGTTGTGCTTGTGCTGCGATGGTGCGATGGGCTGCGATAGTGCTCACGCACATGCACACATACATGGGTGTTGTGCTTGGTGCGATAGGGCTGCGATAGCGCCTAGGCATGATGCTAGGGCTGCGATGGCGCCTAGGCATGATGCTAGGGCTACGATAGTGCCTAGGCACTCATGCCTCGCCTAGCACACCATGGTGCGCCTAGCACACACATGGTCGCCTAGGCTTGCGATGAGCTAGCCTAGCCTAGATACGGCTTCGCTCATACTTGTTGCTTGTGATTTTGCGACGCTCGGTCTCGACGCCCTAGGCTCGATATCTAACGTCTATATTCGTAAAACTCTATCGACTCATTAAACCCTTTGGATTAATTCGTCGTCTCGGATCAGTTATTCGATTGGGTTCGACCCGAAGGGTTCAGTTAAGGTTAAGCTGTAATATTAATTATACCTTAATATTACTGATCGGAAGCGGCCTCCACCTAGGCATTCCGATCACTTGACCTTACTGAAGAATTAGCTCTGTAATAATTCTGAACCCTCTATCAGAATAATACAGTTGTTGGAAGGACACCATTCCTTTCACCACAGGCTAAGAGACCCCACTAGGTGACAGTTGGGGTGGCTGTCTTTCAAACTGCTTCAAAGCAGTCTGCGGCATGACCTTGGCCACCTTGGTGGAAGACTTAGCCCTTGAGGCTGTTGTCTTCCTGGCGAATAACTGTCCTTCAAAGCAGAAATCGGCTGCTTTCTCTTCGTCCGAGGAGTAGGAGTGGCCGCCTGAAAGAAATAGGATAAAGTTAGTTGAAATGAACAAGTGTCCAAGTAAAATTGAGAAGGAACACCACCAATCAACTCGACAAACATAGATAAAAGACAGCGTTCGAGCAAAATCAGATAGGAAATCTTTCCTAACATATCAACTCAGCGTAAAAACAAGTAAGTGCATGAAGTCAGGGTGGACGAGCGGCTTTCTAGGTCTATGTTGCCCGCGGCCGAGCTGAATTAGATCGGCATTAAATCGATTCATCCGCAGTTAAACTCTTCATCCTTTGTCTTAATGCGGTAAAATCGGTGTTTCCAATCTCGCCACTTGGATGGTCTATCCATCACCACCATATAATCTTTCTGGGTGCTTGGAATAAACCACCCGTCCGTGTCAGAATCCAGGTGGACCATGGAATGTATATCACAAAAAACTGGAACGTCTGGCTTGAAGCCTTGCCGAAGGCACGTCACCAGATAGCCAAAAATGTTGAACCAACTGTTCGGCACCAGCTGGAAGATAGCAATGTTGTATTCGTCCAGGAGCTGTTGGATGAACGGATGAAAAGGGAAGCGAAGACCCACTTCCAAAGCAGCACGGTAGACGCTGAGCATTTCTTCCGCTGCCTCTTGCTTTCCCAGGCAGCCACTGAGTAAAAGTGAGTGGGCGCTATGATTTCGTAGCCTTCTCCCAGGTTGAGGAACTTCTTGAACTCCTCAAACTTTAAGTGTAGGAAGGTCAAGGCAGTGTCGCCAACCGTACAGGTCCTTGAAATTATCAGCGTTTAGTTCCTCGGCTACCTGATCGGCGTCCGGGTTCTCAGCCTATCCTTCAGCAGCTTGAGGAGCGACCCCAAATCTAGAGGACAACACTATGTCCAGCTCAGCGCTTCGGCCGAGCTCCCTTCCTTGGAGCCCTAGCCGCCTCCAGAAACAATGGTGCCTTCAGGCACCAAGGGCCTTTTGCCCTTATCTTTCCTTCTCCAAGTGTCCGCCTAGTTTCTAGAAGGAGGAGCGCTGCGAGGGGGCAGGTCGACCGGTTCAACAATATGGATGTCAGTTCTAGGCCTGCCAAACCTAGTGTTTCGATTGGGGGTTGTTGAGGATTTTGGATGGACGCCCCAGCGTCTGCCTGAGAAGAGGAAGGATGCCTTCTAGAAGATGGCAGCTCAAACGGCATCAAGACTGAGCTTGTGAATTGTGAGAAGCTTGGTTCCGCATTTCGCTCGGACGTTTCCATGCTGGAAGAAGTGCCTTGCTAATTTTGGCGCTCTTCAAAAGAGGTGGTCACTTCGACCACGGAACATTCACTACCACTAATAGTAGTTGTATTTGTGTCCTCCACGTCCGTGTTACTCGGATTGCAGGGGACTAAAGGGTTTACCATACTACCGTCTCGGTTTCTGGCGGCCTCTTTTTCGTACGTCTGTCTTGTACGTGCCATGCTCGACTGCAGGGACAGAGAAGAATAAGTGGGGGGTAAGTTGGTACGCACTAGAAATGGACTCATTCCATAGAGAGGAGGACTCGTCCCCGTCCACTCTAGACTCCTCAATCCCAAGAGAACGGCCGGGCTCATGAGGAGAAACGGACGAAGCCGAGTGTTGTGTCAGTTCGTGTTTATAAAAATAAAACAAGTAAAAGAAAAAAGGAAGAGGTAAAGTTTGAAAGTCTTTGAAGATCTTGAAGGTTAATCGGAAAACTCAAAAACCTGATCGCAAACTTAAGGAACACGACGGAGCTCTCGAAGATTTGGGAGGAAAATAACTTTCTCTCTAGAATACTCAAGTTTCCAAATTATCCAAATGAACTCAAACAACTTCTATTTATAGACCAAATTTATGAGGGCAAAATGGTAAAACCATCTTTCCCGCCCAGAAGTTCGAACGTTAACTTTCGAAAAAAAGTTAACCTAGAAGCTGAACGGTTAAAAAACCGCTTCGTCATATAAGACGGGAAAAGGTACAGACACATTGACGGCGCGTCAAAATAGACAGCCAGGTCAGCGGAATTTGAACCGTCATTCTGCCATATACGGATGACAGGTGTCTCCCTCAAGCCATTCGTCACAACCCGTCTGCCCGATTTTAAGACTCAAAGTCCATTGGCGGACTAAACAAGGCAGACAACCCAAAGGAGAAACCCCTCTGATGGACGGACGACAACGTCCGTCTTCCACCAATGATAATGCTCCATCCGCCCGACATTCGGACGAGACTGGATGAGTAAAAGATCAGAGGAGGCGACCCGTATGGTATGAGTCACCCCCTCTAAAGGGCAAATGTTTAGGGTAAAAAATACCCTAACACGTGGCCCAATTAAAGGGCGACACGTGTCCCTTTATGAAGATGACACGTGTCAAGCAAAACGGCGTCCCATATGGACATGTGCCTTCACCTGATTGCGCCGCTAATCAGAGCACGCCATCCTAAGTTATCAAAACCTAGAGGGCACACTTTCTCAACCCTATAAATACCCCAATCATTTATGGTGGGAGGGGTAGATTAAAACATATCATTTTAAGAGCACTAAAAGCTCCAACTTCTCTCTACTTTCTCTCTCTATACTTATTCCGTTTTCGATCACTAACTTGATCGTCGGAGGCGAATATTCCGTTAAACAGAATATTCGTTATTTTGCAGGTGTCCGCATCCATTCGGCCATGTTCAAGACCACTATCCCGAGGGATTTCAAAAAACCCCAAAACACTTTTCACCGGCAAGATCCGATGAAAGCCCCTCAAAAATTAAGGGTTTAGGAGAAAGGATAGAGGTTAGGTTTTTTTTTTGGGCAAATAAGAGTAGCAAACTTGTTAACTAGTAGTTCACCCTAATCCAAAAATGTATTAAATGACAATTTTTTTATTTTTTATTTTTAGTATTAGTTTCATTATATATATATATAACAAACATAGTGAAATGAAACATATAAAAGTGCAAAAGTAAAACTGTTACAATTATTATCCTATCCTTCTATCCTGATCTTATCCTTTTTATCCCTGTCTCTCCTACCAACCGCCCCATAAAAGTAAATTGAAGGAGCAATAATGTAAAACTGTGAATTGTGACATCATCAAGGTAAACACTATCACACACTCTTTTCAGTTATCACTCCAATGGCTTCTTCTTCTATATTCATCTCTCGAATCTCCCCTCCCTTAATTCGTAGCTTCACCACCTTCTCTGCTAAATTAGATTCTTCATCTTCTTTCTCTCTCCTCTCTAATCTTACCCAGGTTGATTAGTATCATCATTCTTCTGTAAAATCAAAACCTCATTTCAAATTTCACTATCAATTTTTATAAATTGGTCTTCGTTTTCTTTTGAATTCAATTTATTTTTTCTTTTGCAGCAAAGGAATCGAACTCGATCGTTTTCAGTCACTTCATCAATGGCGGCGGCGTCATCGGAACCCAAGGAGGCTGTTTCTAACAATCCTGGTCTTCATTCTACACCTGATGATGCTACCAAGGGTTATATTATGCAGCAAACTGTATAGTTCAATCTTTATTTTTATGAATTTTGTATTTGATTTGTGATGTTATAGTGTTTGATTTATGAATTTTATGATATATATATATATATCTTTTTTTTTTTTTTTTTTTTTCCCAGATGTTTCGAATTAAGGACCCGAAAGTGAGCTTGGATTTCTATTCTCGTGTGCTGGGCATGTCGTAAGTTATTTTGCTTGATGATTAACAATAGTCTTTGCAATTTGTGTGCTTGAACTGCTTAAGATGTAGAGTTTTAGGAATTTTATGAATATCTTGGTTAAACTTTGTTGTAATTATGTTATGTTACGGATAAAATCATTATTGAACTTCCGCATTTGGTTGTTGATTGTTACTTTGAGTTATCAATGTTATAGGATAATGATATACGAAGTATTAGAATAAATTTGGACAATTAGTGATATTAGAATAAACTTGGAAAATTAAGAAGAAAAAAAAAAGTAGGTGGTTACTTTTTTTTTTTTTTTTTTTTAATTATAAAACAAGGTGGGGCTAATTCATTACTTTTGAAACGCACAAGTATTCTAATACAATGTCCATATCAGTATCTTGACACCCTTCAAACGCGCAACAAGTTGTAGTCTCATAGAGTCATACGAAGGCATATTAGCCAGTAAGTGAGCGATCTTTAACCTGACCATCGCTATGAATGTAGCTCCTTAAACAGGATTTAGCCAAAGGACTTCACTAATATTAATAATCCACTAATTTCTGCAACTCCAATCAGATTGCTACTGCCCAGGCTTGGTCTGCAGCAGGGAGTCTCCCACTCTATGAATATCAGTCTCGATTGCACAATGACACCTGCCACAACCAGCAATTTTCACTGGACACATGCTTTTTAATGTTACCTCTTTTTTGGAAGGCTCCTTTGCAAAGCCGTTTTTTCTTTTTTTTAGAGGAACCTTTACAAAGCCTTTAGATAGAGACCTTCCTTTCCAGGGCACTTGTGCATCCCGTATCTTCCTCCAAATGTAGCTGTTACTAGCCAAGGGAGAAGCCAGTGCGCTATTTTCTCCAGCTGACAAAATGATGTCCAATTCTAAGAGAATAATGATCATCCTTTGTGTAAAGAGCCATATGCACTGGAACTGTTCTAGTTTGATTGTTGTCCTGTTCATGAATAATATGATGAAAATAGTCCAGAACCTGTTTGATTTCTAGGTTTCCATCCCAAAATCTAAAATCCATAAAGTGAATATGTTTAAGTATGCTCCTTTTGCATTTCAGGATTTTTGGCATCATGAATTTTGTTTTCTTGGGATTTAGTAAAGTCACTTTCCAATGTTACCTGTATGCTTTTATCAATTTTGGTGTCAGGTTATGAGGGAGATTGAAAAGGGTAGGACAGAGAATTGCAAGAGAGGGGGGGGGGGAGAGGGAAATGGAGGGAGGATTTAGAGGATGGTTAGGGCAGGTATGAATATGACGGAGAAAGAGAGAAGCATTATGCTTTATGACATTGCAATTGGGATTAATTAGAGTTGTTGCAGATGAATAATGCCTAGTTGCTAATTGGTTATTAGGTGTGTTAGGAATCACAAAGTAAGAACAATAACCACTCTTGTGCAACAAAACATGTTAATGCAGGTAGTTATGCTAGTTATATTGCCTTACACCTTCACTGTAAACTAGTTAGTTTTGTTTGGGGTTCAAAAGTATCATTAACTCAGGTTGAGCGAGTGACAATAGGCGTGCACAGTCTTGTAGCTTGTGACAAATTGTTACTCTGGAATGGTTGTAACTTGCAAGCAATCCAAGCATCACTAATTAAATTAGAAGTTTTGGTTGTTTTAATCTTTTGTCTTTTGAGTATATACTGACAGGTGGAACATTTTGGATCAAGTATATTGGGCAATAGTTTATTTAGTTAACTGAATCTCAAATTAAAAATCTCTTGGATTACCTCATTGTTATGCCATGTTCACAGTAGCATGCCTTTGTTTTACAAGTATTGCTTAAACTCCTTTGCTTGTGGGTTTTAACCCTTTAATTTTTTTGCCATTTGTCAATATGTGGGCTTAAAAGATTTCGATCTATGCTTATAAAGTTGTTTTACCAATATTAAAAATGTTTGTACTTTTTCTGCAGACTTCTGAAGAGATTGGATTTTGCTGAGATGAAATTTAGCTTGTACTTCATGGGATATGAGGTAATAGGGATGCCTATCTTTGACTAAAATATTTTGCAGCTTGCCATTTGGAATTTTCCTTATTTTCGAGTATTCTTGCCAATTATTTGAGATGAAGGGCTCAAGGACCTAAATTTATGTTCCATGCCTTGTTTATTTATTCAATTAGTCTACTATATCTTATCCATTTATGGTAAATGTTGTAAATAAAAGTGGGCAATTAGGGATAAATTTCTATGAAAAAGCTTACATTAATTTCTTTTTCTTTGCCTGAACAATTTTCTATATGATAATGCAATATTGAAGGTACTTACATTTAAGAGGGAACTTGTGTCAGAACTATTTTCATCTTGGAGCAAAATTCTTGAATTCAGTCAATGAGCTGTGTCTGTGATTGATGTTAGATTTGCTTGCTGTAGGATCCTTCATCAGCTCCTAGTGATCCAGTAGACCGAACTGTTTGGACCTTCAGTAAGAAAGCTACAGTTGAACTTACTCAGTGAGTGCTATATGTTGCAATTGCCGATTCTTTATGACCAACTGCTTGCTACTGCTTTTGCCCTCCTATTTACCTCTAATATGTCGGTATACTTCTCAGCAACTGGGGCACAGAGAGTGATCCTGAATTCAAAGGTTATCACAATGGAAACTCAGAGCCTCGCGGCTTTGGTATGATATTTTTCCCTTAGAGTTTGTCTTGTTTCTTGACTGAGATACAGATTTTTGAATCCCAGTGGGCTCTTGATTTTTTTTTTCCCTACTCTGTCATCTGTAGTTTATTTTTGCCTTTTTTATTTTGTTTTGGAGAACTGGTACAAGGTGAGTGCCAGTATGGTTCATGTATTGCTATTGCGTTGTGGTATAACTTCAATAGAAAGTTTATAAATTGATGTCAACCTCAACATGCTCTTTCTGAGGAACAACTCTCTCATCCCACCAAGAAATGAAAACTTAAAAATAATTTGTCAAGTAGGATTGATTTTAATAAAGTTGGTAAGTTGCGTAGGATTAGTAGCTTAGTACAAGCTATTGTTGGAGACAAACTTTTTGTGCAGATTTAAATAGAAACAACAAACCGTTTTCTCAATGGTGGAAATATGTACTGGGAAAGCTACCTGTATGCTAGATGTTCTCTGGGCGGTTCTGTTTGATGTAATGTTAATCTGAACTTTCCATATATCTATATAGGACCACTTCTTGCTACCTCAAATTTGTAGATTTATGCTTGGTATTAATTAGGGATCAGCAAGACCACTCTTATGCTCCACGATCTCTATCACCAGAGTCAGACTCTCAGGGCTCTAGTTTGCTTGATAATTTGGTCAATCAGTTAGTTTGTGCACCGCATTGGAAGCCAACTACTTTGGCATATGTGCTTAAAATGGTAGTTTGACTGCTTCTTATATAAGATATTTTTTTACTCATCACTTTTTGTGAACTTGTGAAGTTGTAGTTTCAAACTAAAAATAGACAATGTTTTCGCAAGGAATAAGAATAAAAATTGAAGTTACTTTGTCCCAGGTCTTTAATCAAATATAAATGTCTTTTTGTCATGATGAAATTATTATTAGCCTTATATTTATTTTTTCTATCTTAAACTAATGAAGGTCAATGTACATGAGATTTTAACGTGGTTTTTAAGAAAAAGAGACATAATTAATGACTAAAGTTCATTCTACCTTCTTTTCTTCATCAATACAATTTTTTAGTGATGAAGTGATGGTCAACTATTTGTCACAAGGACAGAAATCGGCTTTTTTACTTTCGTATCTAAATGCAAAAAAACTAGAGGACAACAAGAATCCTATGATGAAGTGTATATAAAGGCATGCCTAGGGGCAAGGAGACCTGGCCGTACACCTTTCTTGGTCTGGGTGAGGCCATTTTTATGAGGCACACTAGAGGCTCACAATTTTTTTTCCCCTAAATCTTTTTTGCTTTTTTATTAAGTGTGTCTCATTTCAATGACCTAAGGCGCAAGGAGATCCCTATCACTTTGGTGCACCTTGAGTCTCTTTATACATTGATTGATGGCACAAAACTTATCATACAACTGATCATGAGGAGTTTTTCGTTATTGGGGCTAACCCTGACTAGTGTTAATGGTAGTTATCAATTGAAGCCCCTATGAGACCGTTCAAACAAATTATTTTTTTTTGGGTGCACTTGTCACTTTTTTAAAAATAAGGGCAAACCCTTGTTCATTATGTAAATTAAGTGAGTTTTTAAAAAGTTGGGAAGATTAATAATGAAATGTGTTACAATTTCCACTTTTAACTCTTAATAGTCTAATTAATTTAATCTACTATCATTACATATATTGCCCCCAAATAAAGAACCAAGGAAATGTGGTGAGGGGGATTTCTCATATTCTTTGCTTTTCTTATTGTACAGTCAATAGTTTAGGTTGTGGTTGGTTGATTATGGTCGTGGTCATATTTTGTACATTTGGTTAATTAATGTAATGAACAGAATTCCTTAATGTTTTGGGGTCCTTGGCCTCATTTTTTTTGGGGGGGGGGGAAAGCTGAAATCTGTTTTCTCTTGTTTTTTATATCACTGCAAACATTTTAAAATTTTTAGATCTGCCATTCTGCCCCTGTTTCAAACCAATTTTCTTTTCCATTTACTGGCCTCATTTTATCGTAGCTCTTTCTATCCTGGTGCATTCAGCTTTGATTTATGTTTGTTAAGTTCTTAGCAACAAACGTATCTGTATTTGCTCACAGGGCACATAGGGATAACCGTTGATGACACTTACAAGGCATGCGAGAGATTTGAACAGTTGGGTGTGGAGTTTGTAAAGAAGCCTGATGATGGTAGGTTTTTTATTTCATAAATTTGATCATTTTATGATTATCATGTTTTGTTTGAGGAATATGTCAAAATCTTGATCTTTTTAGGTTGAATACTTTGGATGTAAGGAAGTATTGTGGGTAATGTTTTGAGAATAGTCTGTTGGTACTACACTAGGGTTAGCTATGATACTTTGAATAGTGAGTAGGTTTCTCACTTCTCTTGTGGTGAATATATTTGCAGGCAAAATGAAAGGGATTGCATTTATAAAGGATCCTGATGGCTACTGGATAGAAATATTTGATCTTAATACAATAAAAAGTGCTGCTGGTGTTGTCTCTTGAAGCTTTCTTGCAGGTGGCTTTCTGTTACTTTTTTAGTCATACCATGAAGTTTTATTGAAGGTATATCTATTTTACTTCATGCTATATGTAGTACTGGCATTTTTGAGATTCGATAGCTGTCTTAATGTTTTAAACTTATTCCTTATATAGATAAGATTTTTACTATTGCAGTTAGATTCTTTCTTGAGTGGTTGAGAATCAAGAGATATTTGGAAGGGACCTATAAAATGTGGTAATAGATTGAGAGAACTCGAGATGTAAAAGTAATGTTGCTACTTATGGAACTTCCCAAAAATTTAAGTGTTAATCAAAAGAGAATGGAGAAGTATATATCTCTGGCTAGCAAGTTTGATTCTGGTCACGAAGTGGGTTAGATAACATTGATGAAATCTCAAATTGTTGGTTGAAACAGTACTAAATCGATATATTAAGACCTCTTATTATGAATGCTAATTGAGGAGCAAGGGCCTAAAAAGGCTAGGTTTTGGCAGCTTAATCATGCAAGAAATGGGAGCATTTCATTTGGTGATTAAAGAGTTTTAAGGTTGGTTAATTGATCTATTATGTCCACGGAATCTAATATCTTGGTGCTCTAGATATTATTTGATGCACTATTGTTCCATGACTGCAAGAGCTGAGTGGATGTTTGAGCCTGATGTATAGTGCTCATGTCATTGATAGTGTTTTAGGCTTTGGTGGCAATTTAAGAACCTGCTACTGAATAACATTAGGTCATTATTTTTGTGCCTAAGTGAGGCCAATGGGTTATTATAGGTTGTTGGGACTTGGGGTTCTACTTTTGTTATGCCTTGCAATATCATTTCTAATGGACTGCACGAGTTTGTGTTGGTTCACCAGTATTTTGGCTACTTATGTTTAACCCGTTTCTCCACATTGTTGCTGTAGTGGGATAAGGGATTGTTATCAGGTGGTTCCTATATATTGGTAAGTCTTTATTGAACTATTTTTTCAGAAGCAATATATAGATGTTGCAAGATGGTTGAAGATGGTAGGATCTACTTGTTAGATAGTCTAAGCAAAGCTACAAGAACATTTAGAAATTAGGAGTTGGCCTGCTAGATTCTAGTTGCTCCTCATGAGCCCGCAAGGTTGGGTCCTTGAAGTGGTGCAGTGTTGGGTGATTGCGAAATATCATGATATTTGAGTGTTTCAATTGAAAGTTTCTCTATCCCAATTGAAGATATTGATGACTATATTATTTCACTTAGAATTTAAAACTTGTACAACTTTTCTTCATGCTATACTTCCTCTGTTTTGGTATTACTTTCAACGCTTTAAAATTAGCACCATTCAGGCATTCATGTACAGAGTACCAAGTTTGACCACATATTTATGCTAATTTGGAGTATACAAATAGGAAATGTTATTTATATACTCCCTCCGTTTTTAAACACTTGTTCCATTTCTACTTTTTGCACTATTCATTTATCCTAATTTGACTAATGTTTGTGATTTATACATAAGAAAAAATAGTCTTGTGGGTATTTGTTGGAATCGTCTCAATGAATAGATTATTAATTTTCAATTGTTAGAATTTATACTTATTAGTAATTAAAGATATAATTGATCAAAGATTTGCATCGGCATACGTGTTCAGGAAAACGGAGGGAGTAAAATGTTTTTAGAATAGTCTCAATGTATATTTTTAGAATATCAATTTCTTACGAAGTATAATTTGTCTAATAAAATGCAATTGATTCTAATGGTCAAAGTTTTACATTGACAATCGTAAAAGTAAAACAGTTGCAAGTATTAATAAACAGTGGAAGTACATTTTAATTGGTTGAAGCTACTGCTAGAAATGCACCAACCATAGGCTTCCTATAGGGAAAGTTGCCATCCCTATCCTGGGAAGAAATTGAATTACAGAAACATCCATATATATGGGGTGTTATGTTATTTGCTGACTGCTGGTCTCCCTGGAAAAAAAAAATGTTATCTGCTGATCTGTTTATTTTCCTGTTATAAAGGTCACTTTTGCGAAAGTTTGGACCATTGGATAATAATTTTTTGTCAAATGTGTAATACCAGCAATTTTGCTGTGGAGGAATGTTGACTGAGATTTCAGGCAAGTGGCATTTTACATGAAAGTTTGTCTTTGAAGTTTTAAAAGAGGACACTCATGTGAAGTTAATAATCTTGGATGATATATCACACTTTGAGCATGGTTGGATTGAAGGTAATGTGTTAGGGGTCGTGAAGATCAAACAAATTGAAGAAGGTGAGAAGATGTGGTTTTAAAAGAGATAAATGGTAGTGTGATGAGAGAAGTGGAAAAGAGAAACTAATACTGAGGGTAATAGTTATCCTAGGGTGATCGTGGATAACATTACCCCCACTCTGAGTGTAGTAATTCCAATCATCCTTCCCTCTTCCTCATACCAGCAATACCTTTTTTCCTTTACCAGCACCTCATCCCATCAATCACCTCCTATTGGCTCTACTCACATTTCTTCCTCATGACTTTTATTACTCATTTATTGTGTTTCCCTCAATACAAGCATGCCCTAAGGGAAAATTATGTACTTGATGATCATGATATTGCTTTGGCGTTAAGTATCACATAAGATAGTCAGGAACTTTCTTGGATTGATGAAGCCATACCATATGTCACCAGTGAACTTTGGATTTGTCGTATGAATTGAGATTTATTCAAAAAGTTATTCTACTTCTGTTTAGTTGTCTCTCATTTTATAAAATAATGCATTCCTAGCCATTGATTAATTAACAAGCAAAATGCTCCATACATTTTCTTATGGAAATATGTTATTTTATGGATTCTCTGGGTTCATGTACTACTTGTTGGTTGGTGAAAATAAAGATTTAAGGATTCTACTGACATTGCACCTTGTTTTGCAGAATTCTTCTCATTGATGACACCGGACGATTCCATATGGGCTACTTTTGATTGCTGATGGAAGGGCACATATAGTCTGGCTTTGAATGTTAACAGATGTTTTTAGCTTCAGATTCTGATGTGATTCTTCTTTCCGCATTTAACTTTTACAATTTAATATAAACACTAAGTTTCGTTTGTTATGTACTCCATATGATTTGTTATAATAATTTAAAGAAGATTTTCTGGGTAATGATATAGAAATATTATTATGAGCTAACCATGTAATTAGGGAGAATTTAACAGGAATAATCCAACCTTTTGTCCGTTCTCCCATATTAATTCCACCTTTTGATTATTCCTCGTAAATCCAACCTTTGCCCCCTTTTTCTCACAGCTACCCTTGAAGGTCTCCTATTCGGTACAACCGTTTATAAGTGCTACGTGGCACTTCCTAATTGGTTTTTTTTTTTAATTTACTTTTTTTTTTTTAATTTTAATATTAAAAAAAACCTTCTTTCTTCTTTCTCTCTCTTCCCCCATCACCAGATTCACCATAGCCACCACCATCCTTCTTTCTCTCTCCTTTCCTTTCATGGCCTCTTTCGCCATTACCACTTCACCTCCCCTGTAATGTACCCAACAACACCACCTCCTCTAGCCACCACAAACCTACAACAACCACCACCAACACACATGCCACCACCATCCCTCACCTCGCCGTCAACCGCCGCACAAAACCTACAAACCCACTTATCCCACACATCCGCCGAACCCGGCAAAATCCCGGTACAATTAAAATGAAACCCACGCTCACACCCATCACAAACCAACCTCTCGGAAACCAACGCGTTCGACGGTTGTGTAGGATGAGGGGTTATTTCGATGGTGTGGCGGTGGGTTTTGGGGGGCTGAACTCCTTCCCCCTTTCTGCTCCCCTACCTTCCTCCATTCACCACCCTTTACGGAGAGAAGGGGGGTCGTGGCTATTTGTACGGTGATGGCAGGGGTTGCTATGGAAGCAGCGGTGGCTGGTGCATTTGGTTGCGACGGTGGTTGTGATGTGTGGACGGTCAGCAGGAGGGGGACGGGCAGTGGCATATCTTCTAGGGGGGAGGGGCAGGGGTGGTTGGGGGAGGAGGAAGAAAGAATTGAAGGGGAAGATAAAATGGAGGTGGAGCTTTGGGTGGTGGTAATGGAGGAAGATGATGGCAAATGGTAAGAGGAAGGAGATGGAAGGGATGACCAGTTGTTTAGGTAACCAGTCATTTGGGTATGATATGGGAAGAAGGGGTATAAAGGTTGGATTAACGAGGAATAATCAAAAGGTGGGATTAATATTGGAGAACGGACAAAAGGTTGAATTATTCCTGTTAAATTTTCCTATAATTAGGCCCTAACTTCTTACTTTTTTTCACCGTTTAAGTACTCTATTTTTTTTCACCATTTGGGCACTTAAACCCAAAATCCAGCCAAATTAAATAAATACATCAACAAAAGATAGTCCCTTGGGTTAAAAAGATAGCGCCTTGGGTTAACTTAACTGGATTTGTTTTGTTTTTTTTTTTTTACTTTTTTTTTTGAAGTACAGGTTATAATGATGCAAATTGAAATGTGAGAAATTAACTACCCCTTCCCCTATTAGTTTTTTTCTTTTCTTTTGAAGTGTGTTATTGAAGCTTCAACAACGAAATTTTTTGTGGATTGCAGCTAGATTGGGGAAAAGACAACGATTTCGTTCCAACAACTAAGGTATATACGATTCTACAATATTGTTTTTGTTTTATTCTTCATTAAATCGTTTTTTTTTTTTTTTTTTTTTTTTTTTTTATGAAATAGTGGATTTCACGACTTAGGGTTTTGGTTTTTTTGGGATAAAAACACTTTGCTATGCTATTTGCCTTAAAATTAACTTTATTGTGTGGTTTTTCTAGATGTGTTTTTTGTTGTTTGATCTAAATGTGGCTTGTGTTAGGCGAATTAATGCTAGGGTTTGATAAAAAAATTAAGGGTTGGTTACTCAAAACAAGGGATGGTCTGAAATTTTTGATCTTAATTGTCGCAAAATTGCTTGAATTATGTGTTAATTTGACCCCTCTAACACTAGGTTATGGTCAATCGATGGTTGTTTAGGGAAAAAAATGGTGGTGAAAAATGAAGAGGAATTAACTCGAGCGGTGGAGCCATTGCAGAACTCCCACTCCCCTATTCTGGGCTTGAGGATGGATATAATTTAATGCAGTTTTTTTTTTGTTTAAAAAAAATTATTTTTTTTTGAAAGAAGAAATAAATAAATAAAGTAATTTTTAATTAGCTTAGGTTAATGGTGAGTTAGAGGGGGGTTAGTTGGCTGGAAAATTGGTTAGAGTCGTCAAAGAGTGAAAAAAAAGTGAGTACCCAAAGAGTGAAAAAAGTAAGAACTTAGGGCCTAATTGTGTAGTTAACTCTATATATGGAGGTGTATTATATATGAAGGTGTATTGTTGTTTTAGATGATGATCCAGTGAAGTACAATTTAAAATTCTAAATCTTTGATAGTATATGTGTACTTGCCTAATTCATATGTGAAGTGTTATCCAAATTCAACATATTTCTGAAAATCGTTTGAATGGCAAGTTTGATGATACCTCTTGGATTATTGACATCGGAGCTACGCATCACGTTACAGGAGAGAAATCTTGGCTTTTTGACACAAAGAATTTTGAATGTCCCGTTGGATTATCAAACGCGGAAACCGTGTTGACTTCTCTTGTTGGTTCGGTTCGTTTGGTGAAGAAGATTACTCTTACCAGAGTGCTCAATGTCCCGAATTTGAGTTGCAACTTACTTTCAGTTTCACAGCTTAATGATGACCTTAATTGTATTGTCCAATTTAACTCTTATATGTGTGCTATATAAGACCAAACGAAGGAACTGATTGGAACGGGAGCTAGGAGGGACAAATTGTACTACTTTAGAAAATCGGATCTGGTGCATCATGTGGGCGCTATTGACACAAGATCTAATTTAGAGTTGTGGCATCGCCGTATGGGTCTTCCTTCCGAGAAAGTGGTTAAGTTGCTTCCTACTGTTAGTAGTAAAGAAAGTCTAGATAAAGGGTGTGAAGTATGTATGCGTGCTAAACATCCTAGAGATAGTTTTCCTTTGCGTGATAATAAAGCATCTAGAATTTTTAAGAACGTACATTGTGATTTATGGGGTCCATATCGACATGTTTTGTCGTGCGGACCTTGGTACTTTTACTATTGTTGATGATTATTCTAGAGCGGATTGGATTTATTTGTTGGTTTATAAAACTGAGGTGTTTTGTATGTTTTTGTCGTTTGTTACTATGGTAGAAAGACAATTTTCCCAAACAATTAAAGTTGTACAATGCAAAGTGATAATGGCATTGAGTTTAATTGCTTACTTGATTTTTTTTTAATACAACTGGTATTATTTTTCAGACATCTTGTGTGGGTACACCACACCAAAACGAGAAGGTTGAGAGGAAACATAAACACATTTTGAGTGTTGGGAGAGCTTTGAGATTTCAAGCCAAATTACCAATTTATTTTTTAGGGTGAGTGTATTCTTGCTGCAGTTCACTTGAATAATAGAACTCCTACTCCTTTACTTCAAAATTGAACTCCATTTGAAATTCTTTTTTATTTGATGCCATTCAGACGTTTAGGTGCTTATGCTTTGCTCATAATCAGAAAACTAATGGAGATAAATTTGCTAGTAGGAGTATAAATGTGTTTTTGTTGGATATCCGTTTGGGAAGAAAGAGTGGAGGTTGTAGGATCTTGAGTCTAAGGTTTTTTTTGTCTCTCGTGATGTTAAATTCATTGAGGATGTGTTTCTGTTTGGTTGCCCGGATGATACCAATATTGCGTCTCGTGATTATGAGTCAAGGTGGGATGTTCATGATGATTTCGTCGAGTATGAATTATAGGATGACAATGCAAAATTTTTGGATGATAATAGAGGGTCTCAGGATAGGGGCGAGGCTGCCACTACACCCAACACAGCCACAAGAGCTGGTGTGGAAGTGCAATAGCAGCTCGAGCAAGCGCACGCTGGCGAGGCCATGCACTAGTAGCCCCCAGCTACTGCTCAACCCGATGGAAATCCATCGAGCACTGGTGTGGAAAGTAGCCCAGCCAGCGAGCAGCAGCATGTCGTGCTACAAGATGGCAGCTCCACCGAGGCAACACAACAGCAACCCACGGTTTTGTTGGGCCGTGGCCATCATGAGAAGTTTCCGTCAGTTAAACTTCATGATTTCGTGACTTATTCCGTTTTTTCTAACAATACGTCGCCTTCTCCTCCGTCTTCCACTCCTCCTTTAGGTACCCCTTATCCTCTAGCACATTATATAAATTGTGACAATTTTTCTGTGAATTATCGTAAGTTTCTTGTAGCAATTATAAGTGGAAATGATCTAAAATCCCTTAAAGAGGCTATGAAATCCGAGGGATGGTGTAGGTTTATGAAGGAGGAGATACAGGCTCTAGAATACAATGGGACTTGGACTCTGGAGCGACTCCCTCTAGGCAAAAAGGCTCTAGGGAGTCAATAATGGGTGTACAAGACAAATTTTTTGTCTAATGGTGATGTTGAACGTCTCAAGTCTCGTTTAGTTGTTTTTTGGAATCATCAGCATGAAGGTGTCGATTATAGCGAAACGTTTTCTCTAGTTGCGAAGATGACCACAGTTCGGGCATTTATTGCAATTGCGGCTTGTAAAAATTGGGAACTTCATCAGATGGATGTCCACAATGCCTTTCTGCACGGTGATCTTGGGGAGGAAGTATATATGAAATTGCCCCCGATGTTTGAAAGTTCGGGTCCAAATCCGGTGTGTCGTTTGAGAAAGTCGTTGTATGGCTTGAAACAAGCTCCGCGTTGTTGGTTTGTGAAGTTAGTTACAGCTCTGAAAGGGTACGACTTCTTACAATCTTACTCTGATTATTCTCTTTTCACATATACGTACTAAAGGCAATATTCAGATTACTGTCTTAGTGTATGTTGATGATCTTATTCTCTCTAGTAACAATTCTGCTGGACTCATTGGTTTCAAAGTTGGGCATCTTCGACTCTCGTGCTCCAACTTGAGGGAGGTATTGCGGATATATTTCCGAGATATTAGAATATATTTGATAGAGTTTGTTTATGGTAAATATGTTTATCTTTGTGATTGTTTCCTAATTTCTAGGTTACCAAAGATAAGGTAACTCTAGATTTAGCTTGTACTCTATATATTGGTTTTCCTTGTTTAA